ATCCTGGTTCTTGTTCTGATCCTGGTTCTTGTTTTCACCGTCAAAGTACGACATTTTTCGCGGGAATATTTGCAACGTGTGACACGTCATAGTTTACGCCAAGCAACGCGCAACGTCAGAGCGCCACCTAAAGGCTGGAGGAACGTCATAGTACTGTTTTAAAAAAACTTTTTTTACAGTCCTTGACGTCGGAAATAATTTTTTTCGACAAATAAAATAAGAAATAAACAAGGAGAGAATTTTTTTAATGGAAAATAAAACAGGACAGCACAAAGATTTAGGATGAAAACATTTTTAATAATCTATAATTCATTCAGTTACATCAAGTCTAACACATTTGTGTCATTCCACTGACGGATATGATATAATTAATATATAGAAACATGTTGACTTCCAGATCCTCCATAGAACAAACTATCGCTGTTAAAGAAATGTTTATTTCCTTCTGAATCAAAATCAGAACAGAGAAGAAGGAATATTTTTGTCTCTTTTCTGACACAAATTGGAAAATTAACAAATGAAAACAATTTGTTTCTTTAATTGAACCAAACATTTGAGTTCTGTCATCACAGAGTTCAGATTGTAAAAGGAATAATTCATTAATTGTTAATAAAATGACCTCTTCTCTCTGGAACATTGTGACGTCGATCTTTTTCGGTCATGAAGAAAATAAACGACCAACTGGAGTCTTTGCTGCTTCAAACACTGTCCTGTAGGAGGCGCTAGAGAGATTCAGTCTATAAATTGCAACTGTTAATTTAGCAGCTGCTTCATTTAAATTAATATTGTTTTATTTATTGGAAACTTTATTCATAATCAGTAATTCAGTCCAGTCGCTTATGGATCCTAGGTTATTCGTTTTTAATGATCAATAATTTGACATATTCATGAATACCTTTGTAAAAAATACAGAAAAATAAACAAAGTGATTTTACTTTGTTTTCATACGATAAACATTAATCTGAAGACTTTAATATTTGTTGAAAGTGTAAAAAAACAAACTTTTTAAATCAACACAACACCAAAAAAGCAGTAGTGTTTATTAGAACAATATAGATCAATATGATTGATTTAAAAAACATCCTCTGACACCATCAGTACTGCCCATAGATGCACTGTATGAATATGTGTGTGAATGGGTGAATGGCAAACTGTAAAGTACTGTACTGTAAAGAACTTTGAGTGTCATCAAGACTAGAAAAGTGCTTTACAGTTCAGTAGCGCTATATACATACAGACCATTTACCATTTATCAGTCAACAGGAATGATGTCATCACACACAGGCAGACATCAAAATAAAAGCCTGCTGGTGTGAATTCACCTGGTGAACGATATGTGACTTTATTGATCTGATGATTAATTAATAAACTATTAATAAAAAACATTCAACACCAATTTTATTTCCTATAAATAAAGTGACCTTTATTATTCATCACTGCATTTTCTTAAACTTCCTGTTTCTGACATCAACCCCTGTGCTTGTTTTCAGCTCTACTTTTTTATTAATTGATGAGATGTTTGGACATTAAAAACTTCAGCTTCCTGTTCCCCTGTCTGTTAGAGCTGAGACTTTATACAGGATCAACTAAATAGTCAGACAGATTGCTGGGTAACATCAGGGTCGGAGATGGAGCTAATCTGGCGCTCCACTACCCGCTGAGTCTTACAGGTGACGATCTTGCTCTGGATGTCCACCTTCCTCTCAAAGTAGTCAACAAGTGGAGGCTCTGTCAGCAGTGATGCGAGTACCTGCTCAAAGGTGATTGACCAATCAACATCCAAGACGTCGCCCTGCCGCTGCTCTCCACCAATCAGCACAGTGTCATCGGCGATGTCCTTGCACTGCAGCGAGCTGGAACTCATCACCGAGTATGACGACAGCGACATGTCATCTTTGGCTTCCTTGTCGGACATGTGCAGAGGTTGCGGCTCCAAGTGGGCGTTGGCTAGTGCCTGGCACAACTGGGGATCACCTGACCCCCCCTCACCAGGCCCCTCCTCCCTCTGGGAAGAGGGCGGGGCCTGTGCAGCAGCAGTCTCAATCTTCTTGGTTCCATTGTTGAATTTCTTGCCGACCTCGCCGATGCGCAGCAGGAGACTCGCCACAGTGGCGATGGAGTGATAAAGCTGCTGCTCCAGAGGCTCCTCACTGAACATGTTGTACAGAGTCTTACACAACTCAATGAACTGCTCCTAAAAACACACACACACACACACACA